AAAAAATGTAAATGGGGGGAATTAATTAACACTTATCAGTCATTATCTTTCAATGTCAACAGTAATCATAAACATTATACTGAATATAAGGACATTAAGGAACTTTTCTCAGCTTGGGGAACCAACTTTCTCCCTCTCAAGTATTATCACATCAGAACTCTCTTCTGTTGTACAAGTGTGGGCTTTTGCCCAGGATATATTTCTAGAGGGGCAAACATGTATTCATAACTTGTGCTCAGACTGTTGGCTACAAAAGGGATGCTTGAAATCTATATATTATTAAGAAGGATTCCAAGAAGTCATTAACATAAATTATATAATCCTCTCTTTACTTCAGGGCTAGTTTCATAGCAGACAACTGGGAGGATTTGCCATGTTATTTGTAAGAATACAGATTGTGGAATTAGCAAGTGAGAAATCTAATAGATTAAAGAAAAAAAAGATAATTTAGAGAAAATGTAATTTATTCCATAAATTAGGAGTTTTTATTTTTTCTAAATTTAATTCTATTTCAGGGTCCATCTTTTTAAAAATATTTATTTATTTATTTATTTATCTCTAGTTTTAGGTGGATACATTAGTTTGTTTTTATGTGGTGCCAAGGATCCAACCTCATGCATGCTAAGTGATCATTCCACTACTGAGCCATCACCTCAGCCCTCAAGGTCCATCTTTAAAAAATATATTACATACCTTGCTATGCCAAGGTGTCATAGTATATTAACTAGCAGGAATGCTGTTGCTGGTCTACACAGTGGGGGTGTGGGAGTATCCTCTGTTTCTTTGAGAAGACATGTTTGATCTTTTTTCATATAACTTAAATTCAATAAAAAATGCTTCAAGGAATAGTATAAAATCTTTTCCACTGATACTGTCTTATATAATTGAAGGTCTTTGGGGTACATATGGTGCAAAAACTGGTTCATGCATGTACTTTAACCTTTTACAAATAATCCTAAAACCTCAGAATTTTTTGAGCTCTTCTTGTAACACTGATCATAGAATTAAGAATCTTCAGGTTTAAAGGCCCCATTTAGGTATCTCCATGGTTCTCATACCCGACTCACCATTCAACTTCACCTAGGGAGCTTCACAAAATAAATTCTTTGTCTGAAAGCAACCCTACTGAATCAAATTAACCAGAAATAGTATAATAATTTTTTTCAAGTGTTTTTCAGGGGATTCATATAAAATGACAGGTTTAGGGCTCATGGATTAAGAATAAAGTCAACCGAAGTTGGTGGCATTTTCTCTATAAGTATATTGAGAAATGGGAATACTACTAGGTCCATACACAATGTGTATTTGGGACTAACAACTCTGCTATGACATAGATTTAAATGTCTTTTCCCCACAAAACAAAACCATAGGCTTCACCTAGACTCACCTTAGAAACTGTGATATCCATCATTGCTCTCTTCTTTTATCAGGTATTAAAAGTGTCCAGAAGTTATATTTATTTCCCAGGTACTTTTTCTCTACAGTGACGCAAATTTCTTAACCTTCTTTCCTAGTTCCTATTTTCTCAATTCTTAATGGTTTTAGAACTTCTCAGGAATCTACTTTCTCCAAATATGAAGATGTGGATACCAATAGCAGGCAAAGTCTGAGAAGAATAGGTTGACTAATGGCTAGTCTTCCTGAAGAACCATTTCAAATATCAAGAAATTAAACTTTGCTGTTTCAATTTTGGTGGGCTATTAAAGCATATAATTATTACTACATATGCATTTTACTGTCAATCCAGGTCTTATGAGAATATAATATGACTGCCATTATTTTCTTAAAGAGTAAGAGTAACACTTTTAAATGTGGACTTTCACATCTTACTTTTTTTAAAAAAATAGCATCTAGGGGCTGGGGATATGGCTCAAGCGGTAGCATGCTTGCCTGGCATGCATGGGGCCCGGGTTCAATCCTCAGCACCACATACAAAAACAAAGATGTTGTGTCCGCCAAGAACTAAAAAATAAATATTAAAAAAAAACTCTCTCTCTCTCTCTCTCTTTAAAAAAATAGCATCTAAGTGTATATATATATATATATATATATATATATATATATATATATATATAACCATATGCCTAATTGTCTGAGAGTTAATTGGACCATTGTGATCAGAAATAGTTGATTTGAGCAGTGTGTGGTATCTCAAGCCTGCAATCCCTGCTACTGGGAGGCTGAAGTAGGAAAATCTCAAGTTTAAAGTCAATCTGGGCAATTTAGGGAGACCTGATCTGAAAAAAAAAAATTAAAAGGGGCTGGGGAAGAAGAGCTTGCCTAGCATGTGCAAGTGTCTGGGTTCAATACTAAATAAATAAATAAATAAATAAATAGATAGAATGATTGGTTGACATAATGATACCCTTGCATACCTAATTTCTAACAATTAAAATATGTAATCACAAGAACATTTAACTAATCATGAGTGCAGCCCCCCAAAAAAGAGAAATAATGTTTATGCTAATTTGCTGAACATATCTAATATACCAAAATCTAAACCAACCCTATTTTCTACTGAACATTTTTTTTCTTTTCTTAACCTAAATCAACTAATGAACCAGCTGTAACTGGAAAAAAATAAAACTTTACATAGTTTCTAAAACTGAAATACCAATACAGAGCAAAACTGAAATATCAAAACATCTGCTACACTTACTGAATTGGCAGAAACTTTATTTGGTGTAATTTCTTAGCTCAAACAGCTAATGTATATACAGCTATATTTTGTCTGGCTCAATAGACAAGTTAATTCACCGGGAGTGCAGAAACAGAGGCTCTTAATAAAAAATCACCTGGCTTTAACTAATTAATAGGTTAATTAATGCAGATTCCTCCTGAATATGTTGTATAGGATAAATATGTATGTTTGTCCTTTGTCTTGAATATACACATGCAGATATATGATGTTAACTACATTGACTATTGCCTAACACCATTTAGTTTTATGAATTATCTTATTAGTTCATCGTAACTTTCTTTTACTTTGTGGCAACACAGAGTAACTATTTATAGTTTTCTAATCAGAAAATATTATGTGGAACAATATTTAAATTAACTCAGTAGATTGATCCCCTGATATTTTCAAACTGAATTTCACTCAAATAAAATACTTTGGTTGTAAGAACCAAAGAACATCAATATCTCCACCTCTCTCTCTCTCTCTCTCTCTCTCTCTCTCTCTCTCTCTATATATATATATATATATATATATATATATATAGTATATATATAGTTTATATAGTCATTTTAATATTTCAAACAGTTTCACATTTATTATTTCATTTAGTTGTCATCATCTTTTTTTGTTCTTTTGTGGTACTGGGGATTGAACACAGGGCCTTGTGCATGCAAGACAAACACTCTACCAACTGAGATATATCACCCAGCCCCTAGTCTTCTTGTTTTTAACAAGGTATTTTTTCATATTATATGTTTAAAATTCTCCCACCCTGGAAGCCACAAAAAGTGTTCAAATATTTAACCCAACATTTCTCACATTCCCTTTTCCAGTTTTTTCTTATTTATGTTCATAATGAACACTTACCAGTTTTGTTCCTGTGTCATCATTCAATATTTAAGTTCCTTACTATGTGCAAGAGTCCTTGCCAGATACTCAGGGGAATATAAATAGTAGAAAGCCTTTTTTTCTGTCTGGATATTTGTATTCTAATAAATAAATACATATTGTTCTAAGTAGATTTTATTTTCACCTTCTAATATGCATTTACTCCCTTATTAGCTCATAATCATCAGAATCTTGGTTTCATGTTCTTTTCACTTGACCAGGAATTACCTGAAGTTAGAAACTAATTTCAGGATCCTAGCAAGGACCTCAGTGTTGGGCATATGCTAGGTACTTGATGTCTCATGTCACTCCCTTTTAAATATTTTTTAAGTTCTCCTTATTGTCATAAAGATAGAAATCAACCCCCTCAGTATGTATGTAGACCTATTGTAATTTGAGTCTGTATTGTCCTATATGCTAGCCCCTGGCAACATGTGTTGAGCTCTGGAAATAAAATTAGTTGGAACTTAGATGTTCTATAAAATACACACTGGATTTCCATAATATGGTATGAAAATGATGTAAAAAGTTCTCATTTTCATATCAATTACATGTTCAAATATTTTGGCTATGTTAAATTGAATACAATTTATTAATAAAATGTACCTTTTTTCAGGGCATGATAGCACATGCCTGTAATCCCAGTGGCTCCAGAGGCTGAGGCAGGAGGACTGCAAGTTCAAAGCCAGCCTCAGCAACTTACAGAGGCCCTAAGCAACTCAGTGAGACCGTGTCTCAAAATGAGACAAAAAAATACAAAATAAATAAATAAATAAATAAATGAGACTTGGGATGTGGCTCAGTGGTTAAGCACCCCTAGGTTTAGTCCCTTGTATCAAAAAAGAAAAGTACATTTTTGCCCTTTTAAAAGGGTGGTTATTTTAAAATTTAAAATTACTTGTGACTCACATTTATGAACCCTGTTTCCATCCTAAAAATCCTGTACTTTCTTCCCAAAGTGCATGGTATATATTTTTCTTCAATAGCTTTGCATATCTTCTTGGCAGGCTCTCTCCTCTTAACATAGCCTATTGGCAAAGGCCCACCCACTGTGCTCCTCCTGCAACAATTCTCTCCCAACACCTGCTTTAGATGCTTGTGTCCATCATACCACATCATTCTTTGTTAAGCTTTACCTGACCATACGGTATTATACTTCTTGGTTTACTTACCTCTTTTAAGGCCAAGACTGATTCTGTCTGAATCCCCTGTATTTGAAATATGGAATGAATTCAAGGAGGAACTACCTGGGTGTATGGAAAATCTATAGGGAAAGCTCTATAGACTGCCTTCTCTACATCCAGATACCTCTAACCTAAACATCCCACTCTAGAAAAAGTAAAAATAAAAGGTACCTTGCTGGCCCCAAATTCTTCCACTCCCCTCACCAAAACAAAGAAAACATCAATTCAAAATAGAAGCTACTCAGAAATTAATCTAGTAAACATTTATTTTATAAAAACCACTAATTTTCTAAATGAGAGTCTCAAGTCCTTGTGTTCTTGCATGGTAGTTCCAATGCCAAAAGGTCATGGGGAAAAAGTTGGTACTTGAAAAACAGATGGAAATCAGTTGAAGAAGAAATAATGACAAGTCTGACTAAACAGTTATTCAGTCATTTCAAATGAGTAATGCAATGTTTTATTCCAAGACTGAGTGGTTCTTTGATGGCAGCTTCATCCTTAGGCTTCAGAATGACCAATACTGGTAACCATTACCAAAAGAAGTAGCTTGGTTTATTTGCATATTATAATTAGTGAATGCATGTCCTAATCCATAAGTTCCATAGTTGTAGCCAAAAAAACAGTCTCCACTGTAACCATGAAAAATAGGTTGATTATTGTACACATTATGGAAATTACCATAAGGGAAATTAAATCCTTCTGTGTAGACAGTGAAAGGAACAGGAATAAGCACCGAAGGAAAGCTTCTTCCACTGCCAGGCATGCCCCAAATATTTCGGTTTACTCCAAAAACATTTTGGGTCACCCCAAAACCATTTTGATTTACTCCAAAAACATTCTGGTTTGCTCCAAAAACATTGTAGTTTGTATTCTGGTTTGCTCGGAAAACATTTTGGTTTGCCCTGCGAGCACCTAGGTTTGCTCTGTGAGCATTGGGGTTGGCTTGGAAGCCACCACGTCTTCTCCAATGGTTGCCTAACCCAGAGCTGGGAGTATTTCTTCCCACCTTTCGCTGGGGCCGGGGACGCTCTCTGGGAAGTGCCATCTTAACTTCACACCGACTGGAGCCAATGAGATGGAATCTGGTTTCTAACAGCTTCCTCACTGGGATTTCATCAGTATATGTGATAAAGCCAAAAGCTCGTCTTCGGTTTTTCCTTGGGCACATTGGAAGCTCAATATTCACGATCTCTCCAAATGTGCCGAAATATTCTCTAATTTTTTCTTCAGGTATGCGAGGGTTCAACCCACCCACGAAAACCTTTTTTGGGGGGGATTGAGGTTCCATGGCTTTAGCTCTCTTAAGCTCTATTTTCTTGCCATCTAATAGGTGCTCTTTCACTTGGAGCACCTTTTCAACAGTGGCACTATCTTGGAAAAGCACAAAACCAAAACCCCTGGATAGTCCAGTGTCTGGATCAGTTTTAATCATAAAATCTATGATCTCGCCAAACTGAGATAAGTATTCGATCAGCGCTCGCTTACTCATATCACGGGAGAGTCCGCCGATGAACATTTTACAGGCATCTTGTTGAGTCTTGCTGGCTTCGATTCTGAAACCTTCAGGGAGTTCCCTTTCATCGAATTTGCTCACGGCAAAGTTTGCGGCATCCATGGCAGAGAGGCTGGCAGTGATTCTACCGTTGGCAAAAAGCATGGCTGATACCCAACTGGCGAAGAGGGGGAATATGGGAATTGGCGGGGAAAGGTGACGAAACCAACGTAGTGACGTAGGCTACTGACGTGACACGATGCCCCCCATGTGTTTTCTGAACTTCAAAATGGTGTCCAGGGAGACTGCATGATTGACAGGAATTGTTCTTGCCCCATAAAACTAGGGTTGGTTTTTGTGCTCTTAGCCTTAGAAAGGGAAAGTTTGTTACAGGGACAGCAACACATGGTCTTGTTCAATTTCTTTAGGTTATCTCTCTTTGAAGTTTTATTAAAACCTTTTTTTTCTTTCCAGATGGTGCCTTGCACATCCAAACGGTGGCTTGTTCAGTACATTCCTTAGGTAGTTTTCACATTTCTTTGAAGTATTTGGGGGCAGAGATGGGAAAGGAGGTAAGAGAATTGAAACCTTTTATACTGGGAAAGCAAAAATGCTATGGATTTGTATGTTATGCTAAAGGGATCTAAAAGAGCAACTTTTAATAGCAGCATTGTTGAGATTAATTTGTTTACCACACAATTCACCCTTCTCATATTTTAAAGTATATTTTCAGAGTTGTACAATCATCACCACATTCCAATTTTAGAATACGTATGCTCTCCTCCAAAGAAAATCTGCACCCCGTTAAGTAGTCATCCACATTTCTCCTGAATCCTTCCAACCACACAGTACATGACTTTTTCTTCCTAATGTCTTTCACTACTCTGTTTTCAAGGTTTGTGTATGTTGTAGTGAATGTTACTATTTTATCCTTTTTGATGAAGAAATATTATTCAATCACATGGCTGTACTGCATTTTATTTCTCCATTTCTCTAAAACAACATTCACCAACTTTGATTTTGTTATATTATTATATATTTTCATCATAAAAATAAGTATAGGGATTATCTGGCACTTCACATTTCCAATATGGTCAGAGAGTGCAGATATCACAATTGTGTATACTACTGAGATGGTATTTAATGCTACCTTAACCTCTCCTTGTGTCTGAAGATCAAAGCTAAAATCTAAATACTTAGTTTGGCTACTTCCATCCTCTGACATTAACCACTGAATATAATCAAGTAATTTGTGTGTATGTCTCCCTCCTTCAGATATAATTTCTTTTCAGGAAAAGGTTTTTCTAATTGTTCCACAGAGTTCCCCCACAGGCTTTGTACATAGTTGCCCTCAAGGAGTTTATGCAATTATTTTTAAGCCAGCAATCCTCCTGTTAGTAAAAAGGCCCATATATCTCTCTCTAAGAACATACTGAGCATAATTTGGAGATAACAGAAAGTGGGCTACATTTTAAATACAACTGGCAGGGTTTGACATTTGTGGTGGACAATATTGCAGCCTCCCATGCTGGGCTCACTGAGCAGAAGTTCTGGCAGATGATTCCTTCACCAGCTTCAGGGCAAGTTCCACAATCCTATGTGGACTGGAAAATATTGCCTGAGGTAAAGAGACTGAAAACTGGCCTATGAATATGCAAATGAGAGACTATGGATCACTTTGGCCACAAAGAATGCCATTTAGGAAGTAGCTGTTGAAAAAAATATTAAACTTATTATCCACAAAAAAATTGTAGGGATCCCAAATTTCCACAGAATTTATTTATTTCTTGTCTATAGTTTTCCTAGGAAACCTTAAAAATGACAGCTAATAACATATTATATCTTCACGGATCACAGAGGGTTATTAAAAAAAAAAAGAAAAAATGCTTCCTTTCTTCCAGGATACCTGCAATCTGTTAGAATCAGTAATCCGTGTTATGACGTCCTGTTTACGTGGTATAAAGCAGTGCTGGAGGTTTAGTCATTTCATCTTCTATCATTTAGCAGACCATGTGCAACTTTTTCTTGGGTCCAGTGACCAGTATAGTGAATCAGCTCCAGAACCTACTTAGCTTTTAGGGGTGCCAGTCGCAGCAAGAAGAGATTTTTCACCCAATGTGGTGGTGGTGCACACCTATAATCCCAGCAATTGGACAGGCTGAGGCAGGAGGATTGCAAGTTCAAGGCCATACTCAGCAAATTAGTAAGACCATGTCTAAAAAACAAAAAGACCTGAGGTTGTAGCTCAGTGGTAGAGCACCCCTGGGTTTAATCCACAGAATCACAATAAATAAATGAATAAGGCTGGAGATGTAGCTTATTGATAGAGTGCCCATTGGTTCAAACTCCAGCACCAAATAAAAAGAGAGAGAGAGAGAGAGAGAGAGAGAGAGAGAGAGAGAGAGAGAGAGAGATTTCTAATAAAAACTGTAGTTTTTTAGAGGCTTGTTACAGATGTCTAGTATCCCTGATGATGTCTACAGTTAAATTACTTTTAAATTTTAAATGAAGAAATCTAGATGTTTCATTCTATCAAATATTATCTTTTATTTTTGATTTAATAAACATAATTGTCCCATACATGGTACAAAGAGTGCGATAATAAAAATATATGTTTTGTGAAAATTTTAAAAATTAAAAAGTGACAACTGTTGATGAAGTTAAACCATAGGGAAAATGAGTTGTTTCATAAGGGTAAAACTAAAACCTTTAGCAAAATAATCCCTTATACTTCAATTTATAAACAATTTGAAGCCCAGCTGCCTCCTCATTTTCGATGTTCATCCGTATCCTTGTGCTTTTGTTCATTCTGATTATTTTTCCCCAGATACCTTTGTTTTGTCTTCATCCATCCCTTTCCTATATTCCATCTCCCTAACTTGTTTCCTTGAAGAGCCTCTATTTTGTGAACCTGTGACATCCATTCTATACCTGTTCATCAAGTTTTCATCAAGGTACTTGTCTGTGTCTTCCCTCCGGCACTGGTCAGCAAGCTTCTTACACACTGATCCATACCTAACTTAAAGGTCTCCACATTTGTTATAATTCATAACATATTTTTTAATATATGTCTTTTTAGTTGTAGTTGGACATGATACCTTTATTTTATTTCTTTATTTTTATGTGGTGCTGAGGATCAAACCCTGGGCCTCACATGTGCTAGGCAAGTGTTTTACCGCTGAGCCACAACCCCAGGCCAATACATAACATCTTCTTAAAAGGAACTTACTAAATGCTTATTGAAACTAAATACTGGAGTTCTGAGTTCTGAAGGCCACATTTTTTTTTTTAATGCTTGGTCTTATTGTCCTTTGGGAGAATTAGTCAGTTGCAGATTACTTCCTGAATGCCAATCTGCTACAATTTGGGAGAGGTGATTATCTTTCCTAAGTTAGTACAAGTCTATGAAAAGAGGCTGCAAGTTTGATTTTTTTCTGTGTCATTTCTAAACCAACTGAGACAACCACAGAGTAGTCAGATCTCCATTCGATGGCTGCTTTTACTAGAGTGAAAATCTTAGTGGAATTATCTACTCTCTGCAAGTTTATAGATTAATGATGTACCTGAATGACTTGTTATTTACCTGTGGCTGTTTACCTAGTTAGGCCATGGCTGACATTGCAATTTTGACCTCTGTGTGGACTAGTTAGTTTTCTGCCATATGTGGCTTACAGGTTGTGCCCCTTCGCCCAGTCCTAGGCCTTGCACATGTGTACTCTAGGTCACAAGGGGCTACTGAGTCTGAACATGTCAATGAATCAGTGAAAAAACTATCCTCCATTCTGGATACACAATTTAAAGCACTTAACCTACTGATCTTGGGTCATTAGTGTTATCTTGGTACATGAAAGACAACACATTATTACTGTAATTACTTTTGAGGTAGTAAAAAGGAACATTTTTAAAAAGAGAATGTCTGCTTTTGGTCCCCTAATGAAAATAATTATGCTTGCTGAAGTTCTCCCCCCACACACACACACAAACACACACTGATCTTTAGCTGTTTAAAATATTTTGAAATAACTCCTTTTCAATGTAATGTCTGAAAGACTGAAGAAATTAAAATCTGTGCTGTTTAGTTTTCTATAGCAATTGTGCCACAATTAATATATTTTGGTATTAAAATATTGTCATTAGATTCCTAATGTTAGCTTTCCTTGTGGAACAATACATTAACAATAATTCTGACTAGTAATTTATTCTTATTCCTTATTAAATCAAAACACATATATTGGAGATTTGAATTGAAGTCACTGGAGATTTCTTCACTGAGAAATGAATAAATGAGTGAATGGATGTTAGGCTCCCAGACAGTTACCAAAGGTATTTTACAAATGTGAAATGCCTGTAGAAAACAAACAGTGTAAATCAAAGGACAAAAGGCACAGAAGCTAGGGGCATAAAATAAGAATTTTCTGTTGCTGGGGAATGGGGGACTAAGTGCTTCAGTACATGCAGGCTATCACAATTTTTGTATTTTGAGGAACTTGGGATACCTGATTTGGGTTTGTTTTACCATGATCTAGATTATGCCTGCAATATTCAAGCTCTTAATTTGATTGTCCCTTGGACATTGGTATCTCATTCATAATTGTTGGAGAATGGGGGATAAGATAAAGGATGACATATGCCTTTAGAATTAATCTGCCTTTCTTATCATGGGACTCAACCTTGGCAGAAGGATGCTGTGAGACCCATAAATCAGAAAAGTAACCTGGATGTATCCTGATTTGATATGCTGGCATAGAGCTGTCTCTGTGGTAATATGTTCTTTAATGCTCTGTTGAACCCGTTCTCTTTAGTGAAATGAAAATGCATGTGTTTGACATACTTGGTCTAGTTGGTTGTTTGATAAAATGAGATTTTCCTTACTCCTTTTCCTCTTCATTTTCCACAGAAACTGCCAGGGCCCATTACTTAAATTAAGTTGAGAGTGCTAGCAGATAGTTTGAAAAATGATCATTTAGGAAATACTGTTCTCTACTAACTTTGAGTGTATCCAAATAGTGATCTAACTGAATGTAGTACATTGGACAGAGACTAAAAATTAATTTGACATCAAAAGTTTTTAGCCGCTGAATCTGGCTGCTGGACTTCTGCCTAGATGAGAGTCATTTAAAACCCCCTCTTGGCCCTCTGTAAAAGAAGGCAAATGTGCCCCGCTGCACAGTTGTAGGAAGACAAATCTTCCCCTTTCAAGACTGCCTGGCAAGACATGTGCAGGTATTAAAACATGCATTTCTGTTAAGAATGCTGCTGAAAATAGGTAGCTCAATTTTACCAAGCTCAGATTGTATTTAAAATTTGGGGGAGAGGGCTGGAGTTGGGGCTCAGAGGTAGAGGGCTCGCCTACCATGTGTGAAGCCCTGGGTTCGATCCTCAGCACCACATATAAATAAAATAAATATTTTTTAAAAAGTTGGGGGAGAAAAGAATTAGTAGAGAGGAAGACTCATTCTTTTCCTTTACAGTGCACTGAACAATATGCTGTGTAAAAAAAAGACTACTATAATGCCCTCTATCCACAGTCCTCTTAACAGGATTTTTGATATGTTCTCTTAACAGGATTATG